TAAAAAAGTTTGGCTTCACCTGTTTTAAGAAACTTAAAACTACTCTTTATCCTGTACATGTAAAAGAAGAGCAAAGCCAAAAAGCTTGTATTCTAATATTCTCATTTGTATCTCTTCTTATGAAAAGTGTGCCTTTTATTACATTTGAATTTACTCAATTCAGAAACGTGTTCTGCTGTTACAGGTGTTGGATATGCACCGCTTCTTTTGCATTAAGAAACAAGGCAGCTTTTAACTCGACTCACATATAGCAATTTTTCCTGTATTGAGTCAAAAAGAGAAGAATTGCAGTCAAACACACCGCAGCGCCTCAGAAAGGACAAATGCTTTACTAGCAACTAGATAGTAAAGGCAAAGACAGAAAGTGGATTATGCCTGAAATATCACATATGCTCTGGATAGACTTAAAAAGTTGCTACATTTTACAATAATTAAAACCAAGACAAATGCAACATGTCGACACCAATGAAATGGGCATATCTAGAGGCAATCTTTTAACAGATGTCATGAGACACATCAACAGATCATGATTTTGCAAATCAAGCAGAGTTGTACAGGGTCAATTCCTGTGTGACAGTTAAACAAAATCCACAATTCACACTAAGTTATTCAAACAATTCACTGAACTTTTCTCTGAAATTCTTATCAGCCAGCATGACATTCCTAGGTGCAATGTACGTTGAAATAAGCCTATTCCAAAGACTGTCATTGTTAGCTTTTGCCTTCTTTAGAATAAGACACTTAAACATACAGTTCCCGGCCCCCCAAACTTCTTGATTTCAAAAGGTGAACAATACTTTTCACTCGTTTACCTCAACTATATAATGCCCTGTTCCCATTTACAAGTAAAACAGCTGCCACATATCACCCACCTCAGCAAGAAGCACTTCAAGTAGCTCGCTCCCTCACACACACGAGCTTAACTTACAAAGCACTGTAGTTAAACTGGCTTTCAAATCCTGTTTGTTTTCTAAGCAGCTTCTTAAACTAAGCAAAACTCTCTTGTGAGTTCGGAGATTATGTCGCCCTTTTTGTGTATTTGATCATACAACCAGATGGGAAAGTAAGCGTCATCTTGTCAATCAACGTGCCTTGAAACTTCTTCCTCAGCTTGAGCACAAACAGCTCCACAAGCTAGTCCTACAGAACAGCAGATCCGTCAGCAAATACTTTTTTTTAATTAAACTAGACACTGCTGTAAACAGTCTAGAAAGTAGGTTATACCTTGTCATTCAAGCTATAAAGGCATGCCTGAACACAAAACCAGAAATAAGATGAAAAATACATTTTCCTACTTTCTACCACCCTGCTCCCTGTCCATTTTACCCTGACACGGGCACAAGCAAACATCCAGACATGGGAGTATTCTCAAAATGGAACTGCATCATCTTCCTCTGCAAAGAGGATCTGGCAGTGCACGAAAACTCTGCTAAATAACATCTCTCAGAAGTCAAGTCAGGCTTTGCTTTATTTCATGTTATTAGCTTTACTTCTACCTCCTTGGACCACCCTAAGGGATTCTTCCCCATTATGTTCTTCAAATACTGCAGATAATCATATCTCCCACTTAGACATAATTTAGCCAAGTTTCATGCATTTCTTTTCATCTTCTTTCCCTCATAAATCAATCCCTTCAGCCTCTCCAGCATTCTTGCTGCTCTTCCCTGAATTTCTTCCAAACTGCTGACATCTTTCAGTGACTGAGGAACTTCCAATTGCATGCTGTACTCTAGATGTGCTTTTTACTGTAAAGATAGATAATTAAGCCTTTTCAAGAAATATTAATGCTCCAAGTCTGGAATAAATCTAAATCAATTTTTTTTTAAATTTTTCTTTCCAGAATGGATTGTAATTATCCTTGTTTCACAGAGCAGAAGAGCAGATAGAATTATCTAGCTTATTGCTGCACACAAGCAGTGCCAGAATAAGAAACAGATCCACGTTCTGCCATTCCCAGTCATAAGATCTGCCAAGTTTCAACCCACAGACAACGTAAAACAGCGTTCCTAGGCTGTGATCTACAGGCCAACACCAGGCACTTCCAAGTGACTATGGAACAACACTCGCGGAGCCCAACACTCGCTCGAGTGAGCAGGCCCCATGCTGGAGACAGACTGAGAGAGTTGGGGCTGTTCAGTCTGCAGAAAAGGCGGCTCCAAGGAGACCTTATTGTGGCCTTCCAGTATCTCAAGGGGGCTAAAAGAAAGCTGGTGAGGGTCTTGTTAGGATGTCGGGTAGTGATAGGACTAGAGGAAAAGGATTAAAACCAGAGATGGATCAGTTCAGACTGGACATTAGGAAGAAGTTCTTCCCCATGAGAGAACCGGTGAGACACTGGCACAGGTTGCCCAGAGAGGTGGTGGAAGCCCCATCCCTGCAAGTTTTTAAAGCCAGGCTGGATGGGCTCTGGGCAACCTGATCTGGTGGGAGATGTCCCTGCCCATGGCAGGGGGGTTGGAACGAGATGATCTTTAAGATCCCTTCCAACCCTGACAATTCTATGAGTCTATGGAGGCTGCTGGCACCAGCAGGACCCTGGGACACCCGCGGCACACCAGAGCCTGCCACCGCCTTAAGAGGTCAGGACACAAATCTCCAGCACACCTACCTGATTTTTATTGCTCTGGAGAGGTTTGTTTCTAAAACCAGCCCTCTACTATCATCAGGTTAACTACCCAAACCAGCTATTCAATTCCAGAGGTTAAGACTGGTGTTAAACAGGAGAGGAGTGACTGACTGCCAGGCTGAGGCAGTCCAAGGCAGTTTTCAACTTGCATGCTTCATTTCCTTCCCTTCCCTCTCACTCCCCCATACATTTGTGAAGGAATCGCGGGAAAATAACTTCAGGAAAATTAAAAAGAGCTCTTCACAAAAGAAATCATTAAGAGAGACTATATGAGAGGAGGCAAGGCTGAAAAATGGGGGAGAAAGGGAGAGAAGAGTCTGATCAGTTAAATTTAATAGGGGAAAAAAAAAAAGCCACAAACAGGATGCAGACACATTAAAAAAGCAACACTGACCTAACAAAGGAATGTGAACTGCAGTTGACTTAAACAGCATCACAGCAATAGCCCTCCCCCTACATACAAATCTCTGCAACTCTTAAAGACACAGGGTTTTAGGCCCTTCCAGATTCTGTACTTTCTTTCCCCTGCTAACCACACATTGTTTAATATTCAGCTTGAGCTAATTGAGCTTATTGCCTCTTCCTTCCAGACAACACGAATACTCAAGTTTGACTCAGACTAAAGCAAAGCAAGTCTAAGTTCTACTATTTGCCTACCTCAGAGAGGTATTAAATTCTAGTATTCTGCTACATATTCTTCTTTTTGAAAGAACAAAATATAAAGGTCCTCTGTTTCATAGACTCATCAGAGTATAAGCAAGATTATCTAATGAACACCTTGATGAGAGTGTAATTTCTTCCCACTAGCTCAATATACAAAGTAAAAAAAAAAAAAATAAAAATCAATATTCTAAATCTCTCTATGATTTTCTTTATGTTACAGCAGTTTGTAGTTGTAGTTCCTGCTCACAACCACTGTGACAAAGATTTCTTATTAGAATTCTCCTCATCTCATGAAGAACCAGTTCTCCATCCAAAACATGGAAATGGCAACACAAACACAATCCTCCTGCTACTCTTTCATCATATTTTTGCCTCTGGGAGAAAAAAGCTACTAAGAACACTATATTTTTAAGCAAGATATCATCTTGATTTTAAGCTTGAACCCTTTTCAGTGTTAAGGTCATTTACACATCATTTCACCACCTACCTAAAGGTACCTATTCTTGGTAAATGCTTAAAAGCTTTTGTATATGAGAAAACACAAAGTGCACATCTGGTGCAACTTCTTTCTTTAAATATGCACTGTGCTTGCTAATTAGGCTTTCAGATCTACTTGCAAAGTCTAGCATTTGGTGACAAATCTGGAATTACAACTAGGCCAGAATATACAAGGGGTTTTGTCTCGTCAGAAACTTGCATCTTGCAGTAGGCAGAAGGAAATTTGCCGACGGTCAAAATCGGCACAGTTGCATCGAGCCTTAAACTGAAAAAACAGTGGCCTTCAGCAAGAAATCAGGAAATGCAGTTTTCTCTATAGATCAAATGCTACATGATTGTTTGCTGTTATAGAACATTATGATTTCTTTTCTCCACTTTTACAACAGAAAGAATCTCACCCATCTCCCTAAGAGGGTGGAGGATTAACTAGTGACAAATGGGCTGAAGACACTACAGAAATACAGAAATACTCCTAGTATTGTTAAAATCTTATTCTAAGATCCGAGTCAAATGTATCACCTTTGAAAAGGCTCAGAACAACTTTCCTACCTTAAAAGATGGGGGAAAAAAACCCAAAACAAATGATGTTTAAACTCTAGCACCCATCTTTCCCCATGCTCTAACCTAAGGAGGCATAAATCCTTGCTCTAGTTCACCAAGGATGAAAAATACAATAATATATAATGTAAAACCAGGAGACACAAGCAATAAAAATAAAACTTAATATGTCCAAAAACTCATTTATCATGCAGTTTTTGCTTGAAGGCAAGTTAGGTAATAACATGCAGAACACAGCCAATTTAAGGAATTTGCATCCACTATACTATATTTAGTCAGTAGCTACAAGTAAAAATGATTGCAAGATTGCTTTCTTTTATTTTTTCAGGGGGGCTCTGGTGCAAATCACACGTATGTTGAGAAAGGATATATTGCCACAAACCTTTCTGGATAGAGTATGATTTCTGTGCTACTGACACTCAACAAGAAGTCATTTTGAGACCTGAGTTCACTGACACAAGAGATGTGGCTTCAGGCCATTTAGTCTCACAACGGAAGTCCTGGACACTGTCATTTCATTAGAAGAGGTACAATCCAACCGGGTACGAGCTGATTTCAGAACTTCAGCAGACTACACGTAACATTCAGACTTGCAACTTGGAAAGATCCTGTACACTTGACACATATCAGTATTTGTTAATTGAGAAGCACTTACCTGGAATTCGGATTTTAAATTTACCACTTTGCCCAAAACCACCATCTATTATTCCATCCTCTCCTGTAGATAGCTTGACTTTTAGACCCACAAAAATCTGTATGTTCGTTTCCTTTTTAAACAACGAACGACCAATCACACTGTAATCATCCATCACCTGCAAAAGAAACAAGATTTCATGAGTCCACAATCTAAAGTAACAAGAAAAATTATACCTATGAGATACACTAAGTTTGGTGAGTTCTATCACCTTGCTCTTGAAAAATCATTTACCCCTGAAATGAAATTCTAGATGAGCCATCTAAACTACTGAGTTTAAGGCAATTTGTGTCTAAAACCATAGAATAATTTGTCAATATATTTCTGCTTTTACATCCTTTCTCAGAATATAGGAAGAACAAACCTGCATAGGAACATGCTGTAAAGATGAGTTAATTAAAATATTTTTTCTGCTTTGAAATCTTTCATAGAAAGTCACTTAAGTACCTACATTCACAAAAGTTTATTCCATTACTTATCCTACAGCTAAGTACGTTATCACCTACATAAACATTCTCTGTCTCTCAGCTCCAGACCTGCACTCCAACAGCTACACTTCGACAGAAATGACAGAATTACTCAGAGTTTCTAAAGAGAGCCTTTTAAATATTCACCTTTACACACACATTGATTTGTCAAACTAAAAGTCTTATGGCCATTGTATCCAATTTTAATTTCAAGGTTTGTAACCCAGTGGGAAGACCCATTCTAAGTTGAATTCTTAATTAAGCTATCAGGAACAAGAGGCAGCAAGGTTGGTGGGTAAGGCAAGATAAACAACCCTCCCCTTCGGCATTACAAAGTATAAGGTGCAGTCAAGTGAACCTAATCCTGTAGGTGTGAATATCCTTGTACACCTAATGCCTGGAGTTACTCTACCTCGTAGCTGCAGCAAGAACATTTATTTACTTACCAGAAGAAATAAGGGGATATTACTTAAATCTTTTCAATATTTTTTTTTTTGGTGGCAAAAGCTGCTGCTGCCCTTCTTATCCAAGGAGCAATTTTTAGATAAACCTAAGAGTTTCAAAGACCAAAATGACTTAGAACAGCAAAGAACTAGAACCAATTTTGAACACCCCTGTTTTTTCCGTTCAAATGATGAGTCAAAGCATTGATGGTTTATTAAGCTCTCACCCTCCCTGAAGCTTCCTCCATAAACACTGGTGCATAGAGAGGCTCAAATCCCTACCATTGTTTACTATTTTGTTGCATACACATACCTCTATTTTAACATCGATCTCAGTACAGCAGTAAATCCAGCATCAGAACTTTAATTTTTATTTTAAATGGGATTTACTTGCTCAGCTGTAAACAGCCTTGAAAGGGCTGTGCAGTATTACCAAGCACTGGTAGGACCTCACCCTGTCCCAGACCACACATACGTGCCGGATGAGAAATGTCTACAGCCCTTCTTGCTTCTTTCACGTGGAGAAGACTACGGGCAGCCCCACTCCCAGCTGGGTGCAGAGGCAAGGCTGTATATGCAGAAGCATTCACGTGTATCAGTATTTGCTGCCTGAACATCCATCCCTCATCCTTTCCCAAAAGGTCACATTCCTGGTTGGGTTGTTGGTTTTTTTCCTTCTGGGCTTTTTTTTTTTTTTTATTTTAAGAGGTTTGTTGGAGGTTTTTTGGTGTGTCTGTCCTCTCCCACCACCTCAACAAGCACTGCTTCAAAATAGCTTGTGAACCATTAACAGTGGTATCACTGTTTGGCAACCTCTGGCTTAAATTTAAAAGTGAATAATGTCTTTTCTTCGAGCCAGTGACAATAGGTGGTGGTAGAGGAGGAAGATAAGCTTTAAGGCATGCTTGCTCTTCTTCAGGTCTGAAATAGAAGACTAGCAGAAAAAGCAGCTGTTCATTTCAACTTGAAGTGCACTTACATTCTCAAAACCTTCATTTTTCCAGTTGCATTAGCTGGTGAAATAAAAATATTACTTCTTCCTATAAATCTTTTATTCCTAAAACAAGAATTTCAAAATTGAACATTCCTCTCCTCTACCACTGGCTACGTGCCTCTTACCCCTGCATTTGAAATAGTCTCTCACACTGCAGTACAGATCTTTCCTGTATCTATTATTTTTGTAGCGGTCCCCCAAAATGGCACAGGAAAACAACTTTAAAGACATCATAAATGTCTTTTATTTTTCTAAGAGCACTTCAAAGTTATCTTTAACTTAATTAAAAATGGAATTAAAGGGTGAGCCATCATATTAGGCTGGCATGGTTTAGTTTTGATTTTCTCGGTCAAGGCTGTCACAAAAAACTCAGTGATTTCTATGAACCAGTGTTAGAGGCATCACATACCTTTGAGTAAATTGGTAATAACAACCTGCAATTAATAACAACAACAAAATCTGTCACCATTTAGGTACGTTGTATTGATTTAAACCCCCTCCATAAGTAAATGTGGTTTTTAGGATCTTGCTCCTGTACACGCAGTTTAGGAAAACAACCAAGGGCTCCAGCTGCACTGTTCCTTTCATTCCAACAAAGTGTTAAAAAAAAGCCAACCCCAAACCTCTCCTTCAGCTGATCAATACCTTTTGTGCATATCACCATTATTCCTTGGGCTTCTCTATAGGCCATTAGAAAAACAACTGCTCTAGCATTACTGAGATAATAAGCGATCAGTGACTTGCCTGAGTGGCTGTTTGGAATAAAACCCTTATGATCCGAAGTCTCATATGTTAAATACTATCCATCCCACCCTGTGCTGTCCGTCCCCTCAGTTAGCCTATCACAATTTACCCCTGAAGAAGACTAAATAATAAGAGAATGTCTGATGTAACAAGACCCAAGATAACTGTTCAGTCTTTGCAGTTAAGCGGATGGGTGAAGGAGACAATTCTACGTAGGAAACCTCATTTTCCCAACTCCGAGACCATGACAGAAAAATAAAAATCAAAATTTTTGTTGTAGTCTTGCTTAATAAAAAGGCACAAATGGATGTTGTTCTCTTCAACTGAAACTCAACACTTCCAATTACTTTACCAGCAATTTACCTCCAATCACTGGATTTTAAGTTAATCCCCTCTGAGTTCTCAGAACATCTACAATGGCAATCACTTTGCCTGCTAGCTGAACAGTCTTTTGGGAGATCTTTCCGCTTTCCTCTCAAACACTCTCTTTTTTGTTATAAAATATTATTAACTTAAAAAGCCAAATGCCGCAAAGACAGTAAGGGATACGCAGTCTGTTCTGAAGCAGCAGCAAGGGGCCTAGCAATGAGGGCAGACTAATTTTATTAACTTCAGGGAAACTTCAAAAAGCTTTAGGGCTTTAATGCCAGACAGAGACGACCCTGAAAGTCAGTTTAAGTGCTGCATAAACAAAGGATTAGGGCAAGAAAAAGCTGAAGGCTCCTTGCACTTCTTGTTTATATTGTCATACGACCTAGCAGGAGTGGGAGAGGGCTGCCTCTCTGACTTTAATCCCCCGTGGTGTACAGTGGCGTTTCAGTTCACTGACCTACATTACGATAATATTTTTTTAAATTTATGGGCAGAGGTGCAGAATCAAACTCGCTTAAGGACGTTAAAAAAAAAGGGGCAGGGGGGAAGAAATACCCAGAAGAGAAAAAATTTCTGGCTAGTATAGTCTCCCCCTCTCACTTAGGTTAGATCAGCAGCTTAAAAAGGGATTTCAAGTTCAAAGGGAATGTCTCTGTTACTCTTGTTTTATGGCTTAGACCAGAGGACACAACAGCACAGAGTTTATGAAATATCCCTTCCCACTTGGCTTTCGTGTTTGCAGGAAAAAAATAAACAGCACTTTATAACCACAGGTGAAATATGTGCCAGAGATGCACAGAAGGGTTTAGCTAACACCAAGAACTTCACAGAAAAGATTAACCACCTCACACTCTCCGTGCAAGCACGACTTAAGGTACGTTGTATCGTTTGCAAAACCACGGTTAACGTTACACATGTTGGTATTCAGCGCAAACTATGGTATAATTCCAAGAAAAAAATAACTCTGCTGTCTCCCTTTGAGCTGGGATGGCAAGCTACACTGTCCAGCCTGTTAAGCCACCCTCATTAAGGTAACTCCAAAATTACCATCTTCTGAACACCTCCGAACAATTCATCACACACATTTTGAGAGCAAATAACTCCATGTCTTAACATATCTGTAGGACAGAATAGAAACACGCAGGAGGAAAGAAAGCAGTGCCAGAATGAGACAGGAAGTAAGAAAAGGGTTGAGACAGAGAAAGTAGAAGCACTGAATATTCAGTACTAGAAAGAGAAACAGAGAGAAAAGAATTACCTTTCCTGATTTAATCTACAAGTATGTGGTTTTAAATAGAAATAAAACATCTTTATTAAAAGGATAAAAACAGTTATGAGGATTATCCTCAGCAAACTGATAACTGGCCCAGTGAAACCAAAGCAGAAAACAACAGGAGGGGGAGAAGAACAAAAAGAACCTATGACTAACGCTGAAAATACGAAGTATTTTTATTACTTTTTTGTACTTTTTCCGAAGTACACTTGAGACATCTTCATCATGATTGGTGACAGCTCATTTATTTCTAGAAAACAGTTTCAAGCACTTTCCATTTCTGTCAGAAATTGGAATATTCTGGAGGCTGTAAATTCCTCTTCTTTTAAAAACATGGCTTTGTGCATTGAGAAAACGATAGTACATGAGACCACAGAAAGGGTGAAAGAACTCAGGATTTCACCGACAATGGGGTTTGCAGCTTTTCTGATTCTCCAAAGACTGTTCTAGCTTACAGTTTGTTACCGAGATCTGAGTGAACAACTTGGTACAAAGAAAGATGATTCGGTCAGCCACACCGTTTCCTTACAAGCTTATGTCAGCATCAAAGTATTAAAGGCTTGTCTTCCTGCAAGTCCCTCCAGCACTAGCAGCTCGCAGTTACACGTTGGGCTCTAAAGATGTTCTTCCTCACCACCCTCCAAGTGAACAAACTGAACTTCTGCCTTTGAACCTCCACCCAGAAGGAAGAAACATAGGAGAAAAGTTATCTCCTTCAGTACTTCATGCCTTATTACTGCTGTTTCAATCGAGCAAGAAGCCATCTCACAGACATCTCCGCATGTCCACTGACTTGGGTTTCCAAGTATTTGTCCCATCTCTCCC